ACTTTGCACTTGCCACTCGATAGCTCTTAACCCTAACAATCGTGGATCAACTTCTTTCCTAAAAAATATATCTATTTTGAGTTAATTTTTCAATATAATGATTAATATAAATAGATATACGATGCAGCATAACTTAAGCTACTATAGAAAAATAATAAAATCCCATATATCCCATGCAGTTTTTTCCAGAAGCAAGTTTTCTAAGGCTTATAGAAAAGTACTATTAACCAATACTAAATACAACCTCTACATAAAATGGCAGTTACTATAATAAGCACCACTCACATTCATATTGTAAAATCCAGGGAACAATGCTTCGTCACATGCTTTGCTTATAATCCTATGATTTGTCAAACGTAATATATAGCAATTGGAATAACATGATACTGAAATTGACACCTTCGACTAGGATTGGCTAAAAGTTTACAACTGAGGTTTAACACGTCCAGATGTAGTATTATAAAGAAAACAGTCTAGATAAAGGTTTAGATACCAATCATAGATGGCAGGACCAATGCTGAAGTGGAAGGAAAAATTAAAACAAAAATTTTTTTTTTTAATTTTCTTCTTAGAGGGCACTTATTTACAGTCTCAAATATATTTTGGGATTTCTTCCATTAAATTTCTCTTTAATTGTATTAAATAATACAATTTTGTATAAATAATGGAATGTTATGCCACAATTTACAAAATAAAATCAGAAATCCAATAAAAGATAAGTTCTCTATAATTTTTTCAATTCACATATGTGATTTTGTCCTCACGATAAGACAAAATGGCCATGGTAGGTAATGGGTTAAAACATAGAACAGTTAATAAATTACTATATCGATAACACAGAATTCCACTATAATTTATCAAACATAGTGACTAAGCTGTATTTGGGTCTAAAAAATATTAAATTTCGAGCAGACTAATGACTCAACTTATCAGCTTGAGGTCTTGTATCAAGAGAAAGCATTTGATGTCATAATATATGAAAATGGCTGAGAAAGCCACTAGGGTGACATTCTGAGCTTTCGATTGGTTATTCACATTTCATAGACAGAAGTAGGTATATATAAGGAAGTGTTTCCAAAAATGGAAAGAGGTGGGTGGGGTCACTGTGTTTGATTCAATAAACGTGGCAATATCTCAGTAAATATAAAAGATAGGATATTTTATTATATATATTCTAGCTTGTCAATATTGGTAATTTGAGTTCCTAATTCATATGGAACTATAGATTTTGTATTTGGATATCACAAACATCTAATTTGAATAAGTGCTGTGTTCAACATACCACATGACACACAAAAATTGATATTCAGGTGTTTTTTTAATATTTACTTTTAAATTAAGAAATTAATGTATAATACTAAAATTTGAATTATAATCTTCAATTTAATACCAAACTTATTGACATAAATTCAACAAATAGTAGTTCAATAAAATTGTGAATGCAAGTCAACAAACGCGATGACAAGGCTTTTGACCTATGACCTGTGTTGATAGGGTTAAACAGTGGCTTTGGAGATGTGGTTTTGGCAAACATTTTTCGGTGAAAAACACTGACATTGAAGAAAATGCATAACCTTAACTCATTGGTTGTAATATGCAAAGGCACTTACCAACAGGATCATGTATTTATAATATATAAAAAAAAAGGTATACCATAGCCAACAAATCTTACTTAATATCAAAATCAAGTTTCTAATCATGAAGTATCTTTACAGTTTTATGCAATTATTTAATCAAAGTTTCATTTTAATAAATCATTTATTATGTAAAAAAGCTTTATAAATAGTAGATTCAAAAGATGTATTAAACATTTTGTGACGGGCTCAGTATAAAATACACGAGTTTATATACACATTTGCACACGTTAAGTATATATATACAAAAACTTTTAATGTATCTTCACAAAATATGGTAGACTTTTAGTAATGATTACACATCTTTTGTACACTAAAAATCAGATTTTTTAATGAAGTATTTTTCCTAAAGATTTGCTTGTAAAAATATCAAGTCTGTTTTGCTAAAAGTCTGAGTGCGAAGTGATTTTCATGTTATGATTAAAAACTATTCTTCATCCCAAAAATCTCAAATATTACTTGCGTAATCTCTAAAACCTCCTAAATACATTTCAGATATTTGTTTTCAGTAAAACTTTATATTTTTTCTGTTATTTTCTCTACCCTAACTATACGGGGTCTGTCAATTTGACTGACCTCACAACCACAATAGAAAATTAGGAAATAAATATAAATTATTCTTTTTTTGTTCTAGAATGACTACAAATTATAACACAAAAACACAAATGTTTAGTCTAAATAGCTCAAATTTCATAACATTATACATTTATGATATTGACCTTCCACTTTAGAATGCTATGAAAAATTACCAAAAATGGGGCAACATAATGCTGTAATGCAATTACAAATTTACAACCTCTTTTGTATAAAATTTTAAAAAAATCGAACTGAGATTTGGAGGAGAGCAAAACAGAATGAAAACCTAAACTGTGGAAAAGATGACCAGGTCAAATCAAGATTAAAACTTTAATTTACTAATGTTCATGAACAAGATGCTTGCGTAAACGGACCAATGATGCAGCAGAAGAGTTAGCTCTGAAAATGGGAAAAGACAATTTTGTTGCAACAGATGGGTGGTATAATCATTGGAAAAAATGGGAAATATTCGCCTGATAATGTTTACAATGCAGATGAAATTTGGCTTTATTATTGTGCCTTGCCTAAACATACTTATTTGTTCAAAAATGAGAATGCAAAAGGCTATAAAACTTCGAAGGAACATGCGACAGTCCTATGCTGTATAAGTATGTCTGGTAACAAAGAAAGGCTTTTGGTGATCAGAAAAAAACAAGAATCCACAGTGTTTTAAAGGTGTAAATAAATTACACATCGACTACTGCTCAAACTCGATTGCTTGGGTGACAGCCTTGATCTTTAATAATTGGTTAATGAAATGGGATAATGAGTTGAAACACAACATTGTTCTGCTTGTTAATAACTGTACTACACACATCGTTAATGTGTCATTAAAACACATAAAGGTTATTTTCTTACCTGCAAATACAATGTCATGGATCCAACCATGCGATCAGGCAATTATCTGAGCATTAAAGGCTTATTATCATCAAGAAATGTGCACTATAATCTTAGAAAATATGGAGGACGTAAAACAACAGAGTGCAAATGATTTAGCCAAAAACTAATCCCCTAGAGGCCCTGCATCTTTTAGCTATATCATGGAAGCAAGTGTCTGAAAAGACAACTCAGAATTGTTTTAATCATGGAGGATTCTCGAAAGAAGACAAAGAAACAGAGGAAATTGTAGAAAGACCACCTGACATGACTACAAATGATTTTGAAGCTTGGATAGCAACTGATCAAAATACTCAGGTTCATGCTAAACTGACAGAGTCAGACATCTGTCAGACTGTTACTAGGACAGATCTAGAATTGATAGAGGAAGCTGAAGCCCACAAAGCTGATAAACCTCCAACAAGTGCTGAAATGCGAGAGGCTCTTCAAATTTTGAGACTTGGTGTACAGCACAGATCAGGCAATTTTCATAAACAGTATGAATATGAAAGTTTTATTAATGAATTGCTCCAAAAAATAGTAGACAGTCAACTTTAAATGAATTTTTCTAATTTTTGTTTCAATTGTTTTTAAATATGTCAATAAACGTAAAAATCCAGCTTTCAAACTTTTAGGTAATATGTAACATTACCGTAACTGCTGAATTTTATTTCATCGGTTAACGTTATCAATCGGGTATTGTTATCAATACAACCGAGTCCCGAAGTGATCACAATAAGCAGCATTAAGCACACACATCATTACTATTTACAAATAAGTTCTTAAACTTATTTTTCTTAAAACATAAAACAGTAAATAAAGAAGTATAGCAAACAATTATCTCTTCTAGTTACAAACTTTGTACTCGTTTGCTGCTTGCCGTAGATTGCTAAGCCTTATCAAATTTCACACAGAGGATGTGAAATTAAATAATTTTTTTCTTGTTTTATATATATACATTTGAAATAAATTAATATATCAATACCATAGAATTCCACTATAATTTATCAAACTTAGTAACTAAGCAGTATTTGGGACAAAAAAAATATGAAACTTCGAGCTGACTAAAGACTCATCTTACCAGAATGAATATTTGTATCAACAGAACATAACGATGTAGTAACACTTGAAAATGGCTGACAAACCCACTTGGGGAGGCATTCTGAGCTTTTGATTGGTAATTCATGTCACATACAGAAGTAGGTGTTTTTAAGGGACCATTTCCAAAAATGAAAAGAGGTGTGCAGGACCATTGTGTTTGATTCAGTACATGAGCAATATCTCAGGAAATAGGAGGTTCTTATTTTACATTCTAGCTTGTTAATATCAGTAATTTGAGTTCCCAATTCATATTAAACTATAGACTTTGCATTTGGACATCACTAACACCTAATTTGAACCAGTGCTGCATTCAACATACCACATGATACACAAAAATTGAAGTTCAGGTATGTTTGTTTAGTATTTACTTTTAAATTAAGAAATCAAATACTGTATAACACTAAAATTTGAATTATAATTAACAGTTTGATACCAAACTTATTGACATAAGTTCACAAAATAGTATTTCAATAAAATTTTGAATGCAATTCAACAAACAAGATGACGGGCTTTGACCACGACGATAGGGTTAACTATCAATCTATCTTAAGGACTTATATACTAATATGTTTTGAATCATCAGTTAGAGGCAATTATTTCTCAAGTGCTACACACCTACTACCTTATAAAATCACAGTAATTTTAAATTGAGCTTAATGTATGAAAATGAATATAATTAATTGTAAAATTCAAATTATTTATTAATCAGGAGTTGACTTACAAAATTAATAACAATTATCAAATGTTTGTCATAAAATCTGGAAATGTAAAAAAAATATAACATCTAAAGCACCAGAAAAACATGAAACTCACCAATAAATGTTACAAGAGCTAATTTGTCACTTTCGTTGACATCTTTGGTTGAGTTATTTATGAATGATTTACTTCCTTCATTTTCACACACAGGCACTCTAGAATGCTGAATTATTGATTCAGAGGTTAATGGCGGAAGACTCAAAGGCATTTGTTCCTCCTCCCAAACTTCTCTATCAACATTAACCTCTAGATGTGTAGGAAAGGATTTGTTTTCTACTTGTGCTGTAACTGAAATCTCAGGACAATTGTCAGCATCCTGAACTTGACTTAAGCCACCAGAACCAAAAATAATCTCACTTTTATCACCAGTGAAGTTAGCACCAACTGATGAAAAATCAAAATCTTCAAAATTGACATTGTTTGGAAGCAACAAACTCTCTTCTAATTCACCATCACTTAGGAGTAAATCTTCTGTAGAAGCTCCATCAAAGTTAGCATCAAGGACTTCCAGGTCATGAAAGTCTTCTCCCATATCACAAAACTTGTTCTTCTCAGCCCCAATATCACAGTCTGTGTTTTTATTGCTACATTCTGTTGCAGCATAGCTCAAGATAGCCAGGCCATCACAGTACCCTTTCAGCTCTTGATCAACCTGCAGAGCCAGTTCATCTACTAAAGATTCAGTTTTAATATCATCCTTTGTATTATTTTCAGCACTGAAGGACGTGAGGTCAGACAAAAGCAAACAGGCACTTTTGGAAGAGAAACAATTTGAGTCTTTAGAAGCATGAGTTTGAGATTCACTACTCACTGAATGTATGTCACCAGGACTATGGTTGACTAGCATTTCACCAGGATGGTCCATAGCCTTGCTATGTCCTGAGAGGCAGCTCTGTGAACAAACTGTGTTTGTACCTGAGTGTAACTGTCCATCACTTCTGTTGTGCAATATCTGTGAAAATTCTTGAGATGTATTTACTGGTTTAGAATTTCCAGTTAAAGTAGATGCCTTTTCACTTTCCACAACAGTCTTAGCAGACTCTGACTCAATTCTTTGTTGGCCACCCCCAGGATCAGTAGAGTTCTGGTTATTCTTAGCATTGCCTTCTGTCCCTGTTCTTCCTTTGGTCTTGTGTTTCTTCTGAAAAAATAAAACAATACTTTGTTTAAATATTATACTTTTTTTAATACTATGCATTCATTCAATAATCCTTCAATCACACATACTCCTATGTATGTGTAATAAAAAGATTATGTTATGTTAATTTTGTATCATAACTCCCTTACCCTAGTTCTCTTCGGTATTCATCAGTTTAAGATACAAACTTTTTAGAATAAACAAAACATGGCATTATTATGCCCAAGTCATCCAACAAACACCAGTGTTAATGAATTATTTAACAATTTAGCTCAGACATAAAAAAACATTCTATGATACATATCTTAAACAATATTTTTCATGCAACACAAACTAGAAACCTTCTTATTCACTAAACACATCATTTAAGCAATTAAATAAAACCCAATATCTCTGTTCATGACACCATAAGGAAATTTTGATAATTCTATTTTAACATATACTATAACAATAAATCAACAAAACCACTTTTTAATTATAACATCAAAAAAATATTTCTCTACACTTAAGTGAAAAAAAAAGGTAATTACAAAGCCATTTAATACGAGTTGAATAATAACATTACTTTATTTTTAAGATGCCTGGCACTTCTTGCTTGAAGCAAACTGACTAATACAGATTTCAGACCAGTCTGCAATTTCATTTTAATGGCTGTAAGCCACTGTGGGGGTCTCTGAGGGGCACAACACTTGCAGGTATATGCTACTCCTCCTGGCAGATAAGACATCATTTGATACATCTCATCTGAAAATAACCATTAGATCATTAGCCAAAAATTATCATAAGAACCTTGATGTACTTACTTATGTTTAAGTTCTTATTTATTTAAGATATTAATAGTTATGAAGCCTATAATATATAGTTGTAAACATGAAAACACACTGGTTGACACTAGGTAAGAGAATATGTACTATGATCAGGTGAAAATGAAATTTAAAGCAATATTGCTCTTATTAACCAAGCTAAATCAATGCAATTTTCAGAAGATGGAGCATTACATATGTTTTTAGTTGTGGAAGTTGTCTTGAGGCAAGTTTCATAGATTTACATACCTTTATTCCATATGTTTTCATGTTACAATTTACAACACCCCAAGGTAATTTAAAAACTCTTAAAGTTACACTTCTACAAAATGGATAAAACAAGTGTTAAACTCCTAATCTGAATGTTATATACCTTGAAACTGTTTTGAAAAAGAATATAAATGTTTGTTTATAAATAAAACCTGTGCCATTTGTGCTATACTTCAAATTTTGACCACAACCCATAAATTTCAAGCATTCACATCCAATAGGATGATACTTTATCCATAGTACTGACAGAACTAGTGATGATTAGAAAACACAAACAAGGTTTTTACAAACTTTATAATTTGTTATATTTTTTTTCCTTATCAATGTAAATTACTTATGACAGCAAATTTAACTAAATCTTTTACCAAAAAATACTTCTATACACCCAATTTTAATTAAAGAAAATAGTTTTCATTTTATCAAATTTTACTCAATTAACAAAATAAACTGGGTTTTTAATGTTGGTGAACTTGCAACTATGCTTTATTATTTGTAGTAGAGTTAAGGAAAGTTTTTAACTCTTTAGACCAGCAAGGGTACCAAAAACACTCACTGATCTTTATGTCTTCATTGTGAAAATACTTTACCACACTGCACAAAAATGAACACAACCATTTTATTATATGTATAATTCTGTTAGATTATAAAGTTTTAGAAACTTTGGTGTAACACACTGTTTTGAGAAGGCAGTAAAAATACTTCCTTTCTTTGTAGACTATTTCTTCAACTGTATACCAAAAAGTCCAATTTTATATATTCAATTAGTTTTAACTTATTTGATAGCCATTAAAATATTTACTTTGATATCATATTTTCCCAAATGAAACAGATTACTTCACCTATAAATCATACAAACACTAAGATTTACAAGTATTTATCAGCGACCAATTACCTTATCTTTCAAAATGTCATCACTACTACTTTTGTTAGGTGTCATAGCACGATATTTTGACAATATTATTAGTTTTGATCACTTTATATTTAAACGTTATAGCTGTTTTCAATGAAAACAAAATCTTGAATTTGTGTGCATATGTTGTTTGAATACTATAAACTATACAATATATTCAGCAAACAAAAAAATTATTTTTTTTCATCTGAATAATCTGCCATAGCAAGCTTAGCTTATTTTACTCACTGAGCTTAAAATCTTAACTTGATATCCCATCAACAGACATACTATAACAACAACAAAATACTGTAAGAAACAAAAAGAATATCATCTGAAATTACATAGAAAATGTGGCTTCTAAAGGTAAAGGAAATATTTAAAAATTTTGTCTTCAAGTTACTTTGTTATCACTGACCATACTAACTTCAAATTTCTCAACTGCATGACTATTTCCATAGAATATTATTGTATTCTCATCTGTGAAGCATTAACTCTCTCAACATGGGCTCGGTCAATTTCACTGACCACATACTCATTCGAAGTCTTTATAAATTTGATACTACTAACTTTTAATATCGTGTATATCTTCATGAAATTGGGCAGTCTTTCAGTAAACCTTACAAGTCTTTCATATACAAAAAATCATATATTTTTGTGAAGTATTTTTAATAAACTAAAAAAGGATTTCTCCTTGAATACATCGAGTATTTGTTTCAAATAGTCCATGTGCAAAGTGATTTTCAGGTTAAGATTAAAAATACTTTTCATCTCAAAAATCTCAAATTTCATTTATATAATATCTAAAACCTCCTAAATACATTTCAAATGTTTGTCTTCAGTAAAAATTTATATTTTCTCTGTTATTTTCTCTACCCTAACTCTATATGCATTTGGTCAATTTGACAGACCTTGTAATCATCACCAAAAAATTGAAGTAAATCTAAATTATCTTTTTTTTCTTTCTAGAATGACTTTAAATTTAACATAAAGCTACATTCATTTATACTAAGCAGCTTTAAACTCGTAACAGTATACATCTACTTATAATTAAATTTTATTGTTTCATTTCCCTTTGAACCATATCTAACTACTATTTGCTCCATTATAAGTTGTAAATCACTTGAGGAATGTGCAGCTCACATTATGTTATCAAATTACCTTACCCACGAGCTACTCCGAGCTGCTTGCGTGCATGCCCCTGAAATATTTTTATTATATTATTATTATTTATTTTACCTAATCTAACCTAAAGAGATCCCTATTTTTACATTTTAGTTACTTTTATAATAATAAATAAAGAATAAAACCTTGTGACATGCTCAGTATAGGATGCCCTTGGCAACAATGTTAAAATCACCTTTTGTATGTGAGCAGACACAAATCAACAAATAATTGATTACATTGTTTCTCTAACTTTTGAATTCTTCCTGCACCTATAACATTTTTTACTTTTTTTAAGTACTTGAATAAATTTGTTAATTTTTATACTTTCATTACAACTCTTATTGTACTCCCACACATTAATATCTTACCTGTGATATTTTCACATTTGGCATGAACCCAATTCTTGCACTTTGAACACTGCACCATCTTTAGAAAAACAGAATAAAGTATTCCATAGAAGAAACAGCAAAAGTTAAAAACATGCATGTATCTTATGGAAAACTTGTTGTGGTGGAATGAAAATAATCTTATACACTGTGCATTTACTTTCAACTGAGAGAATATTTGACAACTAAAATAAATTAAAATTTTTTTTAAATGATTGAAAGATGCTCATAAGTATTTCTTCTGCAGTCTTGAAAACAATAGTTTTTCAAGTTATAATGAGTAATACATAGTGCTTTTCATGTAAAAGAAAACAAAGAATTTTACCAATATCCATTACTGACAACAAATTAAGTTCATGATGGTTTTAAAAAAGCAAAAACAATATTAACAAAATCTTGTAACCAGGGTGTGAACTCAGCCACATACAAAAACTGTGGTTGTTTAAAGATTTTTCATACTGATTTTTTAACCATTATAAATATACAAACGTAAAAAGTAAAAAGAGCATTATACAGTTTCATAATGATACAAATATTAATAAGAGTAAATAAAAAATTTATAATTTGACTTTCAAATACTGTTGTAGAAGTTCTATGTGGTTCAATTTTCCAATCTACTGTTATCCATATTTGCCGATATTCTAGTAGCTATGTAGGCCACATTAGGTTCCTATGTAATTTTGAGGATGATGATATTCATCAAATAAACAAAGCATACAACATGTCTTATATAGAAGGAACTGTATATTATCTGTAGTTTTTGCTTTTCAGAACTAAAATTTTTTACCAGCTAATTCACTTGATTAAAGTTAAATAAACTTCTCGTATCCAGAATCATTTTTTTTAATTCAAAATGATTAGTGTAATAAGGCAGTGTAATTTACATGAATAGATTAATGTAAACAGTTACAAGTGTCAGCTCACCATTAACAAAAAATCATCATCTTCATAACACTTCTTGCAAATAGGACAGAAGTTGCCTAAATTGAAAGAGAAATGAAACAAAAAATAAACCAAACCTTAGGATTTTACAAAAGGTAAACAATTCCGTAAGTGGCCCATAAATATAGATTGAACATTTACTTCTTGGCAATGATATAAATGAATGAATCAACTACAATTTGAAATTTCCAAAAAGTTGTCATTTATCCACAAAATAAAACATTTGCAACAACATTTATAGAATAGAGTAGCATTTCCCAAAGTGTGTGTGGCACAAATTGGACTTTGTGAAAGCAATTAGGGTAGAATCAATGGTGCAATAATGAAAAATTAAGTGTTTTAATATATTTTTCATTAATAAAATTAATAAGTAATTACTACTATACCTAAAGCATTTTAATGTAAGTCCTTGTATTACATTTCATAACTTAACTCACTCTTTCACTCATTTAAAAAAAAGAGAAGGGTGTGCAAGAAACCATAGTTATTTAAAGGAGGCAAGAATGAAAAAGTTTGGGAAATGCTGCAATAAAACATTTGAGGAGCAAAATGCAATGGACAGTCATCCAAAAAAAGTTCCTATCAAATCTTCTCAGAAAAGCTTTCTGAACATACATAAAGCTAGACTACTACTCAACTGCTTTACACCGTATGTACAAGAACATGAGAGCTACAAATGCTGGGGGAGTGGCAACATCCCCAGATCTGAAGTACTGGGTGTTGCATTCCTGATGATGGTGTTAAAAGTGTGTTGACTTGGAATATTTTACATTGCATACTTATGGACACTTCAAGCAATGTTATACAAGAGTAAATTGATCTTTCAGACATATAGATTTTTCTACATTTTGCTAATCTTACAATATTTAGTATAGGTTACTGTGAGAAAATATTACATTAGTCACTTCAGGAAAAAGTTTGTTCCTACTATTAAAGTCAAAAAGTCTGTAGTGTCATTTAGCCTAATTTATATTTTGGTACATTTGCTTTCAATCCTTTATGGTTAGTTTGTACTAAACACTACAGCAAGGATCATGATTAAAGCATTTTTCACTTAAACAGATAAACATGTATTGATAATGACTGTTTTATTAACATTTCAACATAACAGTAACCAAATGTATGGTTTCCATCATATAGAGGTTACAGTTTTGTACCATGGTTTTCAGCACCCATACTATAAAACCTGTCATAGCACCAATGTGTATGGTTGTACTTAACCCTTTACAGCCTAATGGTGTTTGAAGCTGTTTGATCATAGGAAAAACATTACACTTTTAATACATCATCCTTTCTCCCATTTGAAGCCATAATAGGAAAAATATAAAGTAAAAATGTCATTTTTTTAAAGTTTTATTTGAAACACGATTTAACTTAGAAAATACTGCTAAATTGACTGAAAATAATAAAGACAGCAAAGTATATTGAACAAAACAAAGGAAGTTAAGTGTGAGTTGTACAGATACTGCAGTTTTCTTGTGTCTAGTTGTAAAAGTTAAAAAGTAATGAATATTAGAGGGGGAAAAACTGAAAGTAATAAAAATTAAATAAGTATGCATTTTCTCATCTATCTCCTAAATTTATGAACCTATAAAAATCTAATTCATATTAACTTACTTGTCTGCTTAGTTCCTATTCAACAATTTATTTTACATATGTGTATGTCATTGTCTTCATTATCACAAGCATGTGAAATTTGATCCATTTAATGTAGGTGCCAGGCCTTTGTCATATGATCTCAAAGAGGTCAATATACCTGGCCTATTCTTTGGCAAATATCATTTAAATGGTTTCTCTTCAACCTCATAGCTTATAAGAACTACATCTTCTCATCCTTACAGATGAAGACAAAATTTGTAAAAATAACCTAGTTATGTTAGTAATATTATCACTTAGCTAAATACTTGGATTTAGTATACTATCCACATGAACAAATTGTGTACAAACTATTCTAATACAACTTCCAAATTTAATATCCAAAGCTTCAGTGGTTTATATTCCTGGCTGACATGGTGAAAGCTGACAGATCTTGTAACTACAATATTTAGATAGTTTTGTAGTTTTCCTAACCAAATATGATTTAGTAATTTTCATCTTAAAACAATGTTCCAAATTTACCTTTTTCCATTAACTTTGTACAATCCAGACAAAGTGAGCAGTCAAAGTTCCACAATACTCCAAGCTTTGTTAGAGTTGGAGTGGTGGTGCCACAGCTTCTACATTTCACACACTTAGGGCACATCTAGAAATAAATTTAGATTATAATTTTTTTTTAAAAACTACAAACTACTAACATCGTAACAAAGTTTCGCCACTTCAAACATTTAATGCACATCTTCAGAACCACTAAAACCTCCTAAATACATTTCAAACGTTTTTTTTCCAGTAAAACTTTATATTTTATCTCTTATTTTTTCAACCATAACTCTACACAAGGTTGGTCAAGTTTACCAACCTCATAACCGCCAAAAAAAAATCTAAATTACCCTTTTTTTCTTTCTAGAATGACTTCAAATTACAACATGAAACTACAATTGTTTATGATAAGTAGCTTTATACTAATAATAGTATAAATCTATTTATACTTAAATTTCACTGTTTTATTGCCCTTTCAATCATATCTAACTACTATTCATGCCATTATAAGTTGTAAATCACTAGGGAAACGAAGTGCTCATGTTACTTTTGACTTTTGAAAATTCTATGCTGTGGTCCCTAGTTTTATACTGTCACCTAAAGCATGGTATTACCTAATTGTTCATTAATGGACAATACATCTTGTTATTAGTTGTTGCCAAATGGCATAAATGTTCTGGACATTTTCAAGGTTATGTCTATTAAAATTGGTAAATTTAGTACTAATGCATATTTTATTCATTTTGCTAAATCTAATATCCATGTGAAAATTATATAAGGATTTAATTTCTCAGTGTTTACTTATGTAATCTTTACTGTTATTATACCAAACATATTCTATTATAAATAAGTTTATTTTCATTTTATCTGCAAAGATATGTCTATTTCTAAAGTTATATTCTGAATGAAACATATTTTGATGATAAAAGCTAAATCGATGTGTTTTAGCAGTACAAGCTAAAATTTAGTCATTTGTTAAGGTAATCAACAGAAGTTTGGTTATTACTTAGTACCATGTTCTATAAATGATAAATTAATAATTTCTAATACTTACATGAAAATAAACAACTATATTCAATGTAGCATCTATTATAAGTTTTTAATTTGTTAGTTAAGAAACTTCAAAGATCACTAAACATAATTGTTAACACAGAAGTTCTTGTGAATATTTATATTTTTGCCTTAATCTGTGTTTAAAAAAATATCCAATAAGCATACAAAAGTTTCTTAATTTCAATATCTAATAATGTTAAGTTTTAGAATGCAGTATCAAGCTTCATAATTTTGACACATAAAACTGTAAAAAGTATACAATAATTAGCAAAAAATAGCTCCCTAAAGTATAAATAATTTTTCCAATTCAAATGTAAAAATTAGTTTATATAAGAGAAAAAAAATATATATCTATTCAAATTATATAGATATAGATATTCTACAGCAGTCTACAAAACTAAAAAGAGGCTCTCTATAATTTTAATACTCACCCAGATCTTTTTTTTCCTAGAGGGTTTTGATGGATAATTCAATTCCAAGCATTCTGAGTGGTATGTATTGTGACATTTGCTACATTTTAAAAGCTGACAAAAAATTTTTAATATTAAACCTATGCAAAATTCATTTATTCATCAATACTTTATAAAATCTCAATTTTTACAGAACAAAGGTCTTCAAAGTTTTCTTCATAATAAAATTTATGCTCTGAAAATAGAGATAAACCAATTAGATCTTCTCTATCTTCATATAAAAAGAAAATTCTTTACTCACAGCAGGCTACGTCATACTTCTTGTATTTGTTTTTCTATTTAAATGTCTCAATAGTCATTTAGACCATTTCAAAAGGAATAACCATGACAAAAAAAAAGGTAAAATGTAAAGTTTTTGGAAAATTATACTATTCAAAACAACACTAAAATAGGCTTTATAATGTAATAGTAAGATTACATTAGAAATAATTAACAAAGTTGTAACATAATATCTGGAAAATAACCCTGTTAAGATAAACTGAAACCTCTTTGTGCATAAAATGTCATTAACATTTACTTTAGTAATTTCCAATTTGCCTCAGACAGCTAATGTTAAATTCTATTTGAACTGGGTCACAAAACCTGATAAATGATCAAATTGTTTCAATTTATTTATATAATGAAGGCACTCATGGAAAACACTGGTAAGCTTATTTCACTACATAACAGGTTTGCTAAGTGCAATGAACAGTCAATATCCATAGTAATGAAAAAATAATAATGGTATGAATAAAGATTAAAAAAAAAACCAAGTATGACATATTCTATTCAACAATAAACAATATCCTACTCAAATATGGATATCAGGTTATTCAAAGCATCCTTATTACTAAGAAAATATAAACTTTTTTTTTGTAGAAAAAGTACATGTAAAAGAAAGACAACTTAAAAGTTTTACACAAGCTGATATTAAAATAAATGAAACCAAATTTAGGAATCAGTAATCAATTATTACTATTTTAATTTAAGGTACTTTTCAATGGAAAAATTATATGTTATTGGGAGATTAAGAACTGTGCATCTCTGTTAATTTTCCCTTTATCACATTTCAATTATGATTCTGACCAATCACATTTAGTAATGTATCACTTTTTAGTGACAAATTTACTGGCATTACGTTAATAAAAACAAATTATGCTGTAAAACTAGCACCATCTGTCTAGTTTTTTTCCTTTACATGAAGTATGTAATATTTTCAGGATTTTTTCTTATAAATAATTGTAGTTATCTAACTTTTAGTAATAACTTGTGCTCAACCCATTATGCACCAGTCTAACTTGGCACATTTTTGGGAATAATTCCAAATCAGTTATATATCAATTTGTCAAACTGGCTATAAACTAATATAGAACTGATAATCAGCATAAGGTTAAGATATAAAAATTTTGACAACAAGAACATTACCTTTTACTCTGTTTCAAACATGATATTATGTCACATTAAAATAACATCCATACATAACAGAACTTTTTAATTTACAAGTCTATATATTCTCTCTCTCTCTGAACGTAAAACAGGAATACTTACATTTTTTTGTCGTCCACAAGCTAAACATCTTTGACAGCGCTTACAACACCAAGTGAGAACATTTTCTGCTTGGGGAACATCACATTCATCAAGACAAAATTGATGAAATGGTTCACAGCAATTACTACAATAGATAAACTGTAAAATAAATTAAATATTTTAAATAACATTTTTGAAAAGGAATATGCAATACATTTTTGACAGTATACATGCTATGTATATCTAAATTAAAGAACTTCCTGAATGAAAGTAATAAGTCACTTTTTTTTTTAACTATAAGTAAATACGAAAGAGGCAATATTTATCTGAAAGAAGGGATAAATTACCAGGTAGAAAGAACTAAATACAGGAATGACACTACAGACAGAAAACAAGATTAGTCAACAACAAGCTCTGACATATAAAGAGACAGCTTTATGTAGCAGTCAAAATAAAGCTGTTTCACACAATGAAAAATATCATTATTCTTACTAATCAATTCCTAACAAATGTTTTATAAGTGAGCATCATTTTTAACAAAATGTTAATTATTTAAGGCCTGTCAATTTGCATGTAAGTATCCCTAACTATCACCATTACATCTACAAATACATTAAGAAAACCAATTGTTAAATGACTAATTTTTTTTTTTATCTTGGATCATTGGAGCATACACTGCTCTTCAGCCAAGCTAATTACATATAATACATAATACTTTTTAACAAAAATTAAAATGCTTATACAATAAATACATCCCATTAAATACATTTTAACAAAAATACAAATGATTTTATGTTATTTCAAATCCATAAATAGTGTACTCTTATAAATAATATATATATATATTATTATATATTACATAACTTTACACCCATAATTTTATGCACATTTTGCCGGAATTATTTTTATGATGTCCTAATAATCAAAAACTTTTCAGTCTATTTATAAAAGGTGGATAATAACACGGTTTGGATTAGTTTTCAGCCAAAGAGACATAAATGTTATCAGATGCCGTCACCATCCAATGGGTAAATCGGGATTTTCATTCAGATGCTGGTAGTATTTGCTTGGGTTTAAAGAGTTAATATCCATAAAAATAAAAGACTATAAAAATTATGGTTTGTCTGAGCAATAATGATTTTATACAGAGTAATTTACGTTTAATTTTGTAATTTTTCAAGGGGTGGTAGATAAAATAGGAATGATGACACGCTAAGAGAAAATGTGTCACGTGGGTCACACTAGTGAAAATTCATGATTTTTTAGAATATTACCTTGTAGAATTAAGAACTTAAAACTTGTATACTATTAAGATATGGATTATTAGCTGAGATTTTATGCTATTCTAATTG